AACTAATTCTATAAGGCAGTGTATGGTGGACACTAGCGTGGAGAATTTGTATTTGGATATTGCGGCTTAAAAAGGGTTAATGATTTTGCTGGACAATGACTTGCCTAGACCCTGGCTTGCCCATTGGGTAACATGTAAGCATTAAAAGTTACTTGCCCTGCAAGAAAGTCTTAACTTGTCACAGATTACCAGACAGCTAGAACCTTTTTAAAGCCCTGAGCATGATCCAAAACACACAGTTGCTAAAATGGCATTTTTTTTTCTCCTCCTTTGATCAGCTCGTGATTCATTTGTGGTAAACACAGAGTTTGAAGGTCTGACTCTGAACGAGATGACTGATCCATCATGTGCAAACTGGGTCCATCATGTGCAGTATGTCCTTCCACAGGTATGCATTATTGTCATGGCTACATGATGCAAGTGCTATACTTCTCTCTAACAACCCACCTATAAATTAAATTGGGTACTAAATGTGCATGTCTTTGTTGTTGTACCAGTAAGCCACTCTTTGGGGAGATGCCACCAGTTGTCATATTTTTGTCATCATTAGTTTCTGAAGCCATATCCTTACTTTAGTGTGAAAATCTTGAACTCCAGGGATGTAACTACCTATGCGCCAGTATGCATGTGCGTACCTGAAAAAAAAGTTTCCAATATAAAAAACAAAAGAAATAGAAAAATAAAGGAAAAAACTAAATAAAAGATAGAAAAACGGTGTAGTGGCCCATGCTTCTCCCTTAAAACAAAATGCGATGTTAGAGATTTGACTCCCATGCTGACAAATTAAAGTGGAAATTGAATCTTCACCAATATGTGAAAACAATTTTGGAGACAAAGTAGAACTGGTATGAATACCTCAGTCTCCAAAATTTCATGCCACATAACTTTGACACACGTATACTTAGATCACCCTTATCAAACGTTGAGGAAATGTTTACCTTTATGGCGATAAGATTTGCTTACTAAGCTTCAGTTGAGAACACTGTTTTTGAGTGGAGGCCTAATAAATTGTATTTCTGCTAGGGACGCTGCACATGGTTCAACCCACTGCAGAAGAAAGATGAAGAAGAGCTGGAGGAGGAAGAGGAAGATGAAGAAAGAGAAGAACCTGATGAACCCGAGCCAGAGCAGGGACCCCCACTGCTTACACCACTCTCAGAAGATGCAGGTGAGAAGTTTTAAACTCCACCTTTGAAATAACATTATAAAAATCAGCCACTATCTGGTATAGCCAATGCTTTACTGAAATGATAAAAGTCCAGTTTATAGTGCAGTGTTTGCCACCATATATACATCCTGTAAGCCAAGGAAGGACTTTCCTGATCTTTCCTGTCACCACATTTTTGATTGGTCATGGCTTAGATTAATGTGTTGATTCCAGGCCATTTGTTTTAAACCTAAACTCATTGCTTGGTTGAAACCTGTGGCAACAAAAAAACAAAGTGCTTATCTTGTGCACATTCCCTATTGGACAGCTGGAAATATTAGGCTGATAGCCCTTAAATGTTTCTAAGAAAACCTCTAACACAATGAATACTCAAAGCCTTTTATCATATTTTATCAGAGGTTGATGGCATGCCTCCCTGGACAGCACAGAAATCCTCCACTTTAGTACCTCAGTATTCCTTGTCTGTCATGCACTCAAATTTATGGCCAGGGGCCCATGCATTTGCTGTTGAGAGGTTAGTGTTCACTGGTTTTACAACATTAAATTTATTTTATTGAATTTTATCTTTCACCAAAATGTTGCCAGGGTAACCACAATGGTTTACCATCACTCTAGTCTCCCCCATGAAAGACAGGGTTTGCCTAAAACCTGGAATCTGGAAAGTTTAGTGATTAGGGTTAGGAAACTGAGTGAATCAAGTTTCAGGTCAGTTTGCCCATTATAATGATCAAAATGGAACCTGATTCACTGAGTTTCCTAACCATCATTACTGCTCTTCAGAGTCATTCAGCATTCTGTGTGGGCTTACCGGATTCCGGGTTTAAGGCAAACCCTGACAGATATACTACACCAATTGGGTTTTTGTCCACTTCTTTTCTCACACAACAGTGTGAATACAAAATACAAGGCCAACAGCTTCATGATGCAATTATCCAGACTGAGATAGGGTCTTAAATGATTACAAACAGCATGATCGTGCCAGATTGATGGTTTGACTAGGCTTCAAACCTGCCTCCTCCCCCTACCACTACACTATTGCATGGTTTAATTCTACCTGTTACCATCCTATGCAATAATTTATTCCAAAAAGAAAAATGAAGCTTACCACCAGTGGGCAAAACAGTAATAGTACATAAATGGTGTATTTGACTATGCATCATATCATACCTTTGAACACAGGTTATAATTTTGAGAGGGTATACTTTTCTAACCAGTCTGCTGTAAGACAAATTCTTGAGATTTCCCCTCCTCTTTGTGGTCCGATGCCATCATGTTACAAACTCTAACTGAGAAATGACAAACTTCAAAAGAACAACAAGAATTTACTTTTTATTTGCCCTGCTCCCTCCTCACAGGAGAGGGCTGCTTAAAAAAAATTCCCCACCCCAGAAAAGAAGAACTGGATTTGTTCCAGGGGGGCAGTAGCCTGCGAACGGCAGACGTTTCTCCTCGCTTATCGCCGCTGAGGGACGTTTTGTGAGGAGGAACGTCTGCGACTCAGAGACAGAAATTCCATACTGATGACGTAAATCAATGTTTACATAATAAATTCGATAGTCATGGGGTTCCAAAGGCAAATTTGTTTAATTTTATGTTTCTCCTGGTCGATTTTGGTAAAGTGTTGTGTTCATCTTCGAATGAGCTCAAGCAAAACTCAAATGCTTCTTCGAGAGAAGACTATATTCCACAAATATTGGCTGTTTTGTTAGAGATTCATCGCGTTTACATTTGACCTTTGCTGCCTTTTGTCTTTTGTCTGTCAGTCGTAAACAATGGCTAAAACAATGAAACTGCTCCATCGACCAATTAGCGCTTCTGACCGGATTCTGGACAGATTTTGCGTCATCAGTATGGAATTTCTGTCGCTGAGTCGCAGACGTTCCTCCTCGTGAAACGTCCCTCAGCGGCGATGAGCGAGGAGAAACGTCTGCCGTTTGCAGGCTAGGGGGGCAGAAGGTAACAGGTAAAGTGAAATTGAACAGTACATAAGCAGACCATTGCTGATAACACAAAGCTAACCAGGCAGCTCTACACCATGTGCTCCAAAGGAGTTCACATTGCTTGCTCCTTGTCTGTGTTATTGCAACTTGACTTAAATGCTCCACTCAACAATTCCTTTTTATGTGGTCTTATTTTCCAGGAAATTTGAAAATATTTATGTTGGCTGGGGACAGAAATTTTGTGCAGAGAACTACAGCCCTCCTCCGCCTCCCCCACCACAAGAAGAATTCCCCAGTGGACCAGAGATCACAGAAGCTGAAGACCCATCAGTGGAGGAGGAGAAAGCTCTGAAGGCAGCTCAGCAAGAAGCATTAGAAGCAGCAGAGATGGAGGAAGAAGAGGATGATGATGATGAGGATGATTAGTTTCTTCACTTGAATTTATTTATTTCACATCTCCTTGCTTATGCATCGACTTAAGTGTAAAAAGACAAACCCAAATATATTGTGCTATGCATTTCACACTTCAGTCATCTTCTGTTTGTTGAAAGAGAATAATCTTGTAAAAAACATAAAAAGAAACAATGTTGTATATATTTTTCGGAAAATATAGAATATACCCTCCAAGAATTCACTGCCATTTGGTCAAACTCTTTGTAAGAATCAAGGGTCTTCTCTGCACAATACCACAAAAAGAGTTTTATTTTACAAAAGAGCTAACAACAGATTTGTTTCTTAAACAACTTTATTCTTCAAAGAAGCAACACAGCGTTAGCAGTGATGACTTTGGTTAAGAAGTGAACGATTATTACATGTACTAGATACAATGTGTCATACAAAAAAAAACTGTTGTAGAGTTAAGAAAAAACATGCATTAAAAGTGGTGTTTACAGGACTGTTCTGTAACTTAGTTGTGCTTTCTGGAGATATAAAACAATACAGCTCCATCAGGCTTTATAAGGTCACTGTAAAACCAGTTAAACAATAAAATACATTCACTCTCCTACAGTCATCTACAACGGCAAATCTGGGATCTATGGCATCTACACAGAGATCTACATGTTCAAAAAAATTAATGCATAGGGTGTTCAAGTATTCTCAACTTCAGATGCTGATAACAATAAATATGAGTTTACTGCCATTGTAAGTTCCATATGTGGTGTCCATCAGCCAGTTAGTGAAGTTTAAATGAGATCACCAACTGAAAAAGAGCACAATAACAAATCACTAGGGTTACTTATCTTGTTTGTGGGTTCAAGTAACACTTACTAATGGCAATATTGTGATTTTTCAAAACAGACTATGAGTTATTTACCAGCAATGCCTACCCTTCAAAGCCGAAGATTGATGGTGTGGGTTTTAGTCTGGGTATAGATAGGAGCTTATATGTACTTTAAAACTCATCTTCACTCTCAAACTCTGACATTAGAACAATTTTCATATGACCTTGAATGGACTCTTCGTTTTTCTGCCAAAGAAAACCCTAATATGGAGAAGCCATTGTTCGATTGGCCAATCATGTTGCAGTTCAATGTCAAAGCGAAGTATCGATTTATTTCTACAAAGTTCTTCAGGCATGAAGTTTTTTCAGCCGAGCCTTTGCTTAACCAACCAAAAGCCACGCTCGTTTGTATCTGTTCGACAAGCCAATCAAATCGCTCTATTCCATTTGTTGTTTCTGTCTTGTTCACGCTTTCATTTCAAGATCATACAAAAATTGCTCTATAAGGACCCTAAGGTTGGAGAGTTTTGAAAACCCTTTAATAGAAAGCACGGATAACTAACCAAGGTAGCTGTGTACATATAAAATTGCTAGATTGAATGGAAAACGTAAAAATGCAGAGCTCTCCTGATGTCAAATCTTTTTTGGCGGCACTAGAAAGAACACACGTACCATTCATTGGCATTTCATCAATCTGTGTACTGTAATACTGTTCAATATCACGCAAGATTCTGATGTCGTCTGACTTTACAAAGTTGATGGCAACACCTTTGCGACCAAATCGACCAGATCGGCCAATCCTAAAATAGACATTTCAGATATTGGTCAACCAAAACTGGATTAAAGATGACAAGTTCTATTCTACTGACTTGTACAACAAGGTTAAGGGAGTTTGTGGGATGCAGCTTTTTATAAAATAACTCCACACACTCTGACTGGCTGAGATATCAAGGTGTGTTTGTGTGAGGATTCTTAAACTGTTGTGATATCACCATCTTTTGCTGAGCACATAATAATCAAAAAAACAATATTTGGAAAAATGTTTTGCAGTTACAACTCAACTATTTTGCTTCTTTCTCCGACAGTTGAATTTGAAAAAAATGTAAAATCATGATGTATCAAAGTCTTTTTGCTTAAATTGATTTTTTTATATATATTTTATAACATCTTTCTGCAACACATGACATGATTGTGTACAAAACTTTGAGTATAACACAAGAATGTGCAAAGCTGAATTTGAGAGGGCATCACCAATTATAATGACCCACATTGGGAGAAAATATATTCCCTTGGGAGAAATGAGGGAATCTATTTTCTCTTAACAAGTAGTCGTTAGTAATTGTAATGTTATCTCCATCTCTTCTTACATTAATTATAGTATTTTTTAGAATTAGTATTATTTCATGAAGGCAGTAGAAACCTTAATTTTTACTTTGTTTGCACAGCCAAACAGACACCAAATTGGGTCATCTATGTCTGTAAAACATACTTTCATCTACATATCTGGAGCCAAAAACCACAGCATCATCTGCCTTAATTAAGTTTAAACACACCTGTGAATGTACAACTCACGGTTGTTAGGCAAGTCGTAGTTGATAACCAGAGAAACCTGTTGAACGTCGATACCTCTGGCCCACACATCTGTTGATATCAGCACCCGACTGCAGAGAAAAAAGAGCAGTTTAAATGATCACTGGTCACCCCACTTGCATAACGGTAACTAGATAATAATTACTATTATAGTGTTTACTGTGCACCAAGGCAAGCAAAACCAGACTAATAGGTACCAAAAAGCTTACCTCTGTCCAGATCGGAACTCTTTCATAATAGCATCTCTTTCTTTCTGCGGCATGTCACCATGCATAGAGGACACTGTGAAATTTGCTTCTCTCATCTTCTCTGTAAGCCAGTCAACCTAAAAAAAGTAAAAACCATTATCTGTAGAGATTTGTGCCTGTAATATAATATCACCGGAAGGCTTTTGCTGTGACACAATGTCAATGTTTTAAACAAAGAAAAAAATCCCTATTCACTACCTCCTCATCATCTTGGTATGCTTTAACACATACATCTTCTCTCATCACTAATACTCTTAAGTTTCCCACTTTTATGCCACAGGAATAGGTGTTTCTTATTACTCTTCCGTCCACTAGTGCTGCTTATAAAGCAGGGATGGCGCAGTGATGAGTTCACTCGACTCCTACCAGTGTCACCAGGGTTCGAAAACAAGAATTAACGAGGACATGTGCACGTTGAATTTATGGCTGGTTTTCTTCTCTGCTCCAAGAGGTTTTTCTCCGGATACTACTATGGTTATTCAATCTGGATAGTATCTCCCACATGCCAACAATTAGAGAGCTACAGTTTAAACAGTTCTCGGAAATGTCAAGTGCCGCCTCTCTAAATAATGTTAGTTTCACTATGGTTTGGTCTTGTTCAATTTAACATATTTTTTAATGTACAGTAACCAACCTTTCTCTTGGTATTGCAGAATATCACAGCCTGTGTAATTGTCAGGGTGTCATATAAATCACAAAGGGTGTCAAATTTCCATTCTTCTCGCTCAACAGCCACAAAAAACTGCTTGATACCTTCCAGCGTCAATTCATCACTAACAAAAACAAATACAACATTATAACATGAAGTTGCCTTGTTGTGTAAGTGAAGATATGGAGAGTTGAAACTTTGCTTTGAATTCAAGGGCATTTACCGTGGTCAATCACATTACTCAACCTACTTATGAAATGACTCCTGGGTTCAAACCTATCACAGTTTCACATTACATGAGTAACAAAGTTATGACTAAAATAATATTAATTTTGCCTCAGTACAATAGAGTCTATTTTACACAGGTGCCCTGTGAAAAGAGGTGAGAGAAAAAAAAACTTGACTAGTACCGTTTCACAAGAATCCTGATGGGATCTGTCATGAACTTCTGTGTCATTTCCAAGATATCATGTGGAAGGGTCGCACTTAAAAGAACAACCTACATGTACATAATCAAAATATTATTGAACTCAATAAAATAAAGGGTTAAGAACTATTACAAAATAAGAAAATCTGAGCAATAGCACTGGCACAAGGAAAGTTTATCTTGCTTTTTTTCAGAAAAAAAACTTGCCTGTGTTGCTGGAGGAAGATATCTGTAAACATCATAAATCTGCTCCTTAAAACCTGAAATGACAAAATAAAAGTACAATTTAACAGATTAGCAAGGATCAGATTTGTACCTGCTTCACAAATTGAAATTTTTACCTTTATTTAACATCTCATCTGCTTCGTCTAACACCAGTAATTTGATTGACCGAGTTCTCAAGTTCCGTCTTCTGATCATATCTGTACGAAGCAAATAGACAAAGGTTAATCCTTAAAACCAAACTTCCCTTCTTAATGTTTATTCTTCTTAAAAATTAGTGGACAGCAGGGCTCAAAGTTTAAATTTGAGTTTGGGAGCACTTGTGCTACCAGATGTAAATTTTTAGGTGCACTGCCGAAATTTTAGGCGCACAGCTGAAAATTTTAGGAGCACAGCTTATAATGTTGGGAGCATCTATTTCAAAAGAAAAAGTAAAAAGCTTAACAGTGCCACGTTTATTTGTCATCTTCAGTTTGTTACTTTTACTTCAGTCCTGTGATCGATAAAAGACAGCCAATTTGCTACGCAGTAATACCATTGTGATTTTTAATACTAATTTCTCTCTTTGACAGTACAGTTGTGACTAAAGAAAACTTACACTTGAAAAACAATTCAAAACTGACAACAATGAGTGTGTCGAACGAGAATGAACATTAATNCACAGCTGAAAATTTTAGGAGCACAGCTTATAATGTTGGGAGCATCTATTTCAAAAGAAAAAGTAAAAAGCTTAACAGTGCCACGTTTATTTGTCATCTTCAGTTTGTTACTTTTACTTCAGTCCTGTGATCGATAAAAGACAGCCAATTTGCTACGCAGTAATACCATTGTGATTTTTAATACTAATTTCTCTCTTTGACAGTACAGTTGTGACTAAAGAAAACTTACACTTGAAAAACAATTCAAAACTGACAACAATGAGTGTGTCGAACGAGAATGAACATTAATCTTTAATGAATTTGTTTAATGCGCAATGACTTACACGTAACTGGAATACGACTTAAAAAACTTTCTTACCTGGAAAAAAAGGCCCTTATTCCGGACTGTTTATGTTTTGATTGACGTTAAAACTGAAGGTTCGACATGATCGTCCATTGCGCAAAAAGTACGTGTTTCATTCGTACAATATATTTGCATGTGTCAGCGGTGTTTATTACAAAACAGCTAGTTCGAGTTTGTAAGTATAGTCGGAAGTAAGTCAGTCGCACTGTGCTTTGGGTTTTACGGCGCACAGGTGCGATTATACATGAATTTTTAGGCGCACAACCAAAAATCCAGTTGCATATGCGACCAGTTAGTCACTAACTTTGAGCCCTGGACAGAGCACAAATGATCACACAAGATTGTTAACATATTCTTCCATGGCGTGGGACGGCAGCTTGTTGATCAAAGAAGCAAATGGTCGCAAACAGTGGTTTCTCTCCCTTCATATAGCATAGCAACCGGCCTGGAGAAATCACTGCTAGCAGGGGAGCAAAGAGTAGAAATCTTACCAAAAACTCTGCCAGGAGTTCCAGACACAACATGTTGTCCATAATCGAGTTTTCTGATGTCCTCTCCAACATTTGTTCCTCCAATACACGCATGACATTGGACACTCATGTAATCACCAAGGGCAAGAATTACCTACACAAATTCAGATCTTTAGTTACAGGGTGTAGCCTATAATATTATACCCATGGATATGTTACAGGTCAGAATTAAATTGATGTTAAAATTTTTTAACCTAAGTTGAGTCTCTATTTCTTTTGTTTCCTAGCCCTATCATTTTTCATGAATCAGGGCTAGGAGACAAAGGAAACTGAGAATCAACCTAGGTTAAAAAATTTTTACCTGAAGTTAATTTTGACCTCTAACAGATAGATACAGGTGCAGAAGCTATGAGGTAAAGTCGAACCCCACTTTACGGCCACCCACTTAATACAGACCCCTCATTATTACAGACAGTTTTCTCTGTCCCCGGGGAAAGCCCTTACATTTTTTTCAAAATTCAACCCACTTAATAGGGACACCCATTATTGTAGACAACAGAAACTACTTTCTTGCCCAATAAACAGATTCTCATAAAAAGTCAACCTTGCTAACACAGACACCTTATTGTCCACTGTGTGCTGTAATAAGCCTTTCTTTTTTGAAGGTTGAAAAAAACCTTCAGTTGACATAATGTCGATATTCCCAGCGATATAGTACACCAGATACATGTAGGATGAATTGTGGACGACAATTTTAGACTATTTTGACATCAATCGAGGCATATATGCAGAGAGAGTTTTTGATGATGTAATGTATAATGAGTGACTTTGTCAAGACTTTTGAGTGTTTTCATGTACATAGTCTGTGGAATAACAGCTTGGTGAAGTTTAGAGATTTTGAGTTTGAAGATGCTTGTGTCCTGTTTTATTTCTGTAGTATTTTGATTAACTAAAAGGTGTATTTTTGACTAATACGGACACCCCGTTAATTAACTATGGCCCCTGTGTCTGTATTAACAGGGTTTGACTGTAGCAGTATTGAACATTATGCTCTTGTTAATGATTTACATCCTTCATTCAACTGTGTACTCTCAAGTCAGATCATGCATTTCAACACCATAGTTCTGTCCCGAAAGATGGTTAAAAATAAATGCAATTCATCATACCTGTAGAGTTACACAACCAAACAGTGCTTTAGCCAGTAACTATAGGAAAATGACCTTCTTGTCTACTCCAGGTAATTCACTGATTCACAAACATTTCGGTCAAATTTCCTATCATCTGCCAGGGCACATTAAATCATCAAATAACTTTGTGTGTCCATGTCATCCACAAAAAGTCACATAATGAAGTTTCAAGTCATATTCATGCAGCAGACATCAAAGATATGTACCAAAAAGTGACTGTGTAATGAAATTGAAGAGCTGTTGTTTTGCTCATAAAACCAATTATCATTTTTAATTACAATCTCATTAATGTCACCATAATGGTTACTTTAACTCTCTAGCATTACAGTGGTGAAACTTCGCACTTCAGTGAAAAACCTCAAGTTCTCAGGATATGACATAAAGTTCAGTAAACAATACAACACAAATGAATAAGGAAAAGAATAAATTAATGAGGTTTTTCATACCTTCTGGATTTGCTGAGCAAGTTCACGTGTTGGGGATAAGATCAAAGCTTGGGTTTCTCTTGTCTGACAGTGATTTGATAAAAAAAGTATATAAAAAACATTACTTCATTATTGCTATTACTTTTTCCCGACCTTCACATGGTCCTTAACTAAAGATTCTTATTCAAAATGCATGTACAAGTTTTCCCTACAATGTTTGGAGACTTTGAATGAAAAAAGAAACTAGGTATTGGACTATCTCAACCACTATTGTCTTATTTGACAATGACCTTGCCTCCCATTGCAATCAATGTGCGTATGCCAGCTGCTAGTTTTAGACTACTAGATACGCATGGTATGACAAATGAACAACCAAAAAAATTCAGTCTCCTGCATGTTATATCATTACTTTTTATTCTTTATAGAATTTTGGCATGAGAATTTTGGGGGGTTAATTTTTGGTCCAGGGATTTTTCTTGGGTTTAGATTGTTTACCCCCATTTGATTATCCCTCTCACTTTACAGTTTAACTCCTCCATTGTTTGGGGGAAACAGTTTAGACAATTTTATAGTCTTCACCTTCAATAACTTATGGTCCTAAGGAGTACAGCATTCTAAGCTTTTTGACAGAAGCCTGGAGGAATCTAGGGCATTTTGGCTACTTTTCTTTGAGTTTGATGATATGCGAGTATCCCCCCTGGCATACATGCCAATTCTCCTGGATATGACATCAATCTCCCGCTCTGCCGTACGGGACACAAAATCTCCAAGATAAAATTGAGTATTGAGCTTTTCTGAGCTTTAATTTGGAATTAATCCCATCTCCTCCCAAAATTTGAATTTTCTTTGATTCATAATTTGGTTTCTGGGGCATACTTACACATATTTCATCACTGAGAAAGATCATTTCACCATTACAATCAAAAAGGCAAATTGTGATGGTTTGTACCTCATGTAAGACTTCATATACAGGGGTTTCATTAAGGGCAGGGGACCAGAAAAATTGACCAGCTGTGAATGTGACTTTCCCTGGCTGCTTAACTTCTGAAAGAACTTTTTTTTTATTACAAGGAACAATCAAAGAAAAGTTTTAAGTAAGTTAGGGAACGCGTCCAAATATCGGTAGGGAACCCGATCATGGGAAACGGACCCCATTAATTTTCCGATTGAACGGAATCGGTACCGATCTATAGGCACCAGTTGCCATTTCCGATTACGATAAAAACTTTGCCGATTCAATCGGAGCCGGTTGACATTCCGATGTTCATATGTGTCATCGTCATATTATTTTATCTAATATATGTAAAATGAAGTGTGTCACGAACCAAATAATGAAAGAGTCGTTTCACTCCAAAATAATTTCAATCGACTGTACCTTTTTCCTACTCCATAACAAATAGCAATAATTTTATTGTATGTTCCTGCATGTTGTGTTTCGAGTTTGTTGATTTGATGCTTCCCTATACACATGATTTTCGGCGTTTTGCAGACGTATTTCCTTCAGTCGATCACAAACACCATGCTGCTCCATAACATTAAATGTTATGGAGCAGCATGGTGTTTATTTTCATAGAATAAATTTTATTCTATGAAAATTAAAAGGAGTTAAATATTACGAAGCAAAACACCACTGTTCTTCGTTGATATATAGCAAACAAAACACCTTGCTGAGTAGTGTGTTCTTTACTCGATACTTTCTAACAATGCAATCCAAAAACACAACCGGAACTCACTTTTCCGAAACACAACTGGATTCATAGACTTGTTACAAGTAGACTTCAACGGGTTTCCTAGCGAGCGGAGCGAGAGCAAAACCATGGATAATATAAAACCACGGAATAAACTTTTACGAAAATTTGCGTCTTTCATTCAACGATCCTAAACGCAAGGTGTAATGCGATCTGAGAAAAAAAAAACTGACCAATTAGATTGCGGCCGTAGATTGTCTCCAGGGAATTAGCAACAAGAACTGAAAGATTCCCACACTCGCGAGTCACGGAGGACACGGAACGAAGTTTCATACAGGAGCTACCAAAGAGAGAATGGCTTAGCGACTTTGCTGTATGTTCTGTGAGCTTGAACATGGTGCCACGTGAAATTGCTTTCCACTCTCAGCACTTAGAAAAATTTGCACTTGACTCTAGGTGGCTGACTTTTTGACAAAAATCAGAACCTTTTTTACCGGAGTGTTCAACTAAAGCAAACTGTGCATACATCCGGTAAGTTCGACTCAATTTAATAGCGGAAAGAGAATCGAGAAAGAGAAAACCAGTTGAACGCCTCCATCAGTCACTTTTTTGAGTTCATATGCAACCAATAAACAAGTTGCAGCCTGATTCTCAGACGATGTCCTCTTCTCTCCTGTGGCAATTTAGCAGTTAAAGTACACAACATGGTAACAACATTTGCATTTTGGTCGTGGATGTTCTGACTTCTATTTTTTTCGTTTACAGTCCTAAACTGTTTATTCCTCCAAAGATTCCTATAATCATGCGTTTTGGGTTCCGGTTAGCACAGGCTCAAGCTATTTTAAAATTATCATTTTGAGATCGTACACTTGCAATGTACATTGCGCCGTCTTTCACTCAAAAGATGCTCTTCAGCGTTGTTGAATGACCTGCAGTTTCTTCTCGTGCCCATTTTGATACACAAATTTAATATTTTCTGGTCATACTCTGTCATAGGAAATACAAACAAATGTTCGAAACTGTGACGTTAAATTTCGGTTCAAACAAGACACATTTATAAGAAAGATAAGGTTATAAAAAACAACATTCACGCTTTTGCTTTTGCTTTTGCTTTTGTGACAGGTTATTTGAGCTGCCAGATATTTTTGATGACCTTTGTTAATTGGCCTGATAAAGACTTGAGACCCATTGCCGATTCCGTTTCATTCAGTGCCGATAAAATCGGGTCCGACCTTCAACGGAATCGGAAAAAATCGGTGCTTAATTGATCAGCATCGGTGTGACCCGATGCCGATATTTGGACGCGTTCCCTTATACAATCGTAGCCTTTTCTTGATGAGTCTTCTTGAATGCAAAACATACTTTACCATCAAATTTCCACTTTATCACAAGTAGCATGAAATCCCCTCGTTTGTTATGTGCTAAAAACAAGAATTGCCCCAGAATGCATTGCAAAAAGAACTGTACTCCATAAAAGACCATCTAAAATGTGTCAATAAGATTATGAACTAATTTGTGTGGTGGATATTGGTATCACATCATGATTAAATTGTCTAGAAAAGTTATCTTTTTTTGGTAGTTGAAAGACAGTATCTGCAGCTTCACAATGCAGGAAAACACATCTTTTGCAATTAACTGTAGAATTTCAAAATTTTCTGGGGAAGCATGTCCCGGTCCTCCCTAGGAGAGCAAGGCCCTTTCCATTTCTTTGCCTGGTTGTCAAACCCAGGTGCCCTCCTGTTCAAAACCTTAATGTAACCCCTGCATATAATGTCCTAAGCCATTCCCCTGTGATAAATTAGGGACTGGATCAAATTGTGGTTATCGGGAAGGCGGGGGGGGGATGCAAAAGAGAGTCTTCAGATTTTAGATTTGCAGAGGTTGGCATCTCTGCCCTGGCTAGCTTTTACATGCTACCTCTTCCATGAGAGAGTTGTAATACCACTAAGTTTAAATTTGAGTCCTAGCCACGGTATCAGGTCACTTTGCAAGAAAGTTGATGCGCCCGAAAGTTGATGCGCCTTATAGACAAGGAATAAGCATAAAAAACAGTGACTGCACATGTGATTTTTCCAATGAATATCTCAAATTATGTCGACTTGAGTTTTACCTATTCTTTCTCAAATATAAATACCTAGATTTTTTAGATCACTGAACCTTTTCATTCATGGCCATAAAATCCAAGCTGAACTAAAATATTAAAATCTTTGCTAACTATGTTCACGGTAGTGTTCAGTGCATATGTCACTAAACAAAACGACATTGTTTGGTTTCAGAAAATATCCATACCACCCCCCCCGGAAGGGATCGGATTTTCCAGGGGGGAGGGGGGGAGTCAATTTGCCTAATTTCCAGTGGGGACAGGGGAGTCACCACAGGGAAATATTTCCAGAGGGTTCTCGTGACACGTAAGAGAGTAACAAAGAAAAAACACAAAAATTCAGCACAAAAATTTATTTGCAAAGATATAAAACACAACAAAAGTTAAAGAGCTCCTAAACCTAAGGATTAATGGACATAGCGAACATATTTTGTCAGTTCCTTAGCGTGACCTCTCACGCAAAAACGTTCCTTACGGTTTGCCGTTTTCGAACAGATTTGGTATCTGTTTGAACGGCTTGGGGTATCCGTTCAAAAAAAATTGTCATCTGTTTAAACGGCTTGGGCTATATGTTTGGGAAAAATTGTCATCCATTTGAAAAAAATTATCATCCGTTCAAACGCCTTGGGATATCCATTTGCAAAAATTGTTATCCGTTCGAACGGCTCGAGCTATCCGTTCGAAAAAGAATTTGTCGACCGTTCGAGCAACTAAAGATAAATTTTAACCGAGTTTCCATCCCAAAACCATTTCTTAGCTAGCCACTTGTGTCAAACAATCTGTTATTCTCCAAGTCACATACGTTATGAAGTTTGTTTACAAACGCATCATTATATGAATAGTTACGAATCTCTGCCCCTTTGTAGCCATCTTCGCTTTCAGCAAGTTTCCCGAAAATAATATTTTTTAACTTTTACACCTTTGTAGTTTACGAGCCAGCAGAACGAAACTTCATTTTCCTTGCATGTCGAGAACACAACACACAAAAAAATTTTTTTTTAATTGGTTGCATTTCTTCTTCACTTGACTGTTTCTCAATCACAAAGAAGTTACACAAGTCTTTTCCAGCACGTTAAACTTTGCATGACAATTTTCTTATCAATGAAATCCGCGATGCGCAATTTTACCGCAAAGTCAAATATGCAAATTTGGTAGAACGAAATTCGATACTCACAATGTCTTATCGCACGACAAGGTCCTGATCTCTTTAATTATACTTCTTCAAGTGTTGCCTTCTTGTTGATGCAGTGCAAGAAAAGTACAGTTATGTTTCCTACGCGACCTTGCATTTCATTTGCATGTGGCCAAGAACTTTTTCAACAATTTCTTCATGACTTGAGCGCAAAAGGAATTCGCATCTGTTGTAGAATTCAACAGAAAATACATGAAACTCACAAAATTTGTCTGTGACTTGAGCGCATAAGGAGTTTGCATAAGGAATTTGCTTATCTGTTATACAATTCAACAGAAAATACATGAAACTCACAAAATTTGGCATCCTAGTGAACAAAACTACTTCTTTGTTCACTTCAGTTAGAGATAGCAATATTTCCAGGGGGATGTGCGAAAATTTTGGAAATTCTGGCGGGGAGGGGGGGAATTTTGGGGGCAAATTTTGGAAAATCCCGAGGGGAGGGGGGGGGTCATACGGCAAATCGCTTCCATAGGGGTGGTATGGATATTTTCTGGAACCACACATAGGGCGAATCAACTTGCAGGCGAAACAATCACAATTGAATTCCTAGCCACATGCTATAATGGTGGCTCTACACTGTCAGCATGCGAAATATAATGGTGCTAATCGTACAAACCTGTATGTCAATAGACTGAAGCACACATATGGAGAGAGTAGCTGTTTTTCCTGTACCAGACTGAGCTCTGAAATTCACAATGAAATTCAATAGCTTGCAGTTAATTTATTTCCTTTAATCTATTAATATTTTAAAGCATACAACACCGACTACATACATTTTCAAGTAACACCAACAAAAAGAAAATTAAAGCTTCTGGCTCTCTCCATTTTGGCCGAAGATAATTTCTCGCAGATACTCACTGTGCAATAACGTCCCTTCCTTTTATGATAGGTTTAATAGCACGCTGTTGAATAGCAGAAGGTTTCTCGAATCCTAGAAAACAAAAAAGTTACTAAATGCCTGCAGAACAAACGATCAAATACACGCCACACTGTGGCGTCACCTCAATTTGTGACTCTTCTTTGCACTCTGACATACCGTAAGCGTATACGCCGCGAAGCAACTCTTCTCGAAGCTTTAACTGGTCGAAAGTTGGCACTACGTCAACCTCTTCTGATGTTTCGAAATCGATCTTGGTTGGATCTTCGTCCTCGTCCGCCACAACCTTTCTTTTGCGAGACGACATAATTCAACCTTTCACGTTTACTGCGAAGCGTGCCGTGGGGAAGAAGCTTAGTAGCCACGCCTGGAAAAAGAGTCCCAGATCTCGCTCGAAATCCATTTTGGTCGATGGTGGAATATGAGAGGGAGGGTAACACGGATAGGGTGTGAAAATCTAACCAAGAAAGAATAGATGAGTCCTTTTCAGCCAGTAGAATCACGTCTACTTCTGAAGGGAAGGGAGAAAAGGAAATTAAAGCCACAATTTTGGACAACATAGACGGAAAGTTTATCCTTGATTTCAAGGCTGTTCAATTTTATTCTGTACAAGATTGTAGTCTCCTAGTTTTAAAAGTAATATCAAATCAGTGCTTCATTAGCAAAAAACAAATTTGCACGTGCAGCACACTTTTTTGTACATTTGTTTACCGTTGTTTTGCACGACTTCAATGCAAGACTAAAACGTGAAGCTTCCTAGTTACACATTATTTTTTATGGGGGAATTGTCGTATGTGCTCACCAAAAATTTTGTTGCTCGTGTTTTCCTATTCGATTTACTTTTTGCACTCCCGCTCATTTTCACCTTGCTGGCCGCTAGTATTTCTCATTTTCTCACCGCCGCTATGAAATTTTCATGCTTTTCTTCCAACGAAATTCGTCTCCTTTGTTTTTAATCACTCGCTCTAGCTCTTTCTCTGTAATCCACGTGAGTGTAGACATCAAATGATAACGTCGAAAAAGACTCGACTTTGGTGTTGTTTTTCTCTCTAAAAGTGGTGGTGGCCATGCGATTTCCCGCCAAAAACACGTCGAGTTGCCTGTGGAGTCATACCTGTTAATTGAGTTATTATACACTGGTATGTGGTGCGGACGGACCGACGGGCGTACGGTCAAGCGATTACCAGAATTTCTCGACTGGATAGATTACCAAATTTTCTTAGGTATGGGGTTCCGCTCGCGCGCTTTGCACGCTCATCGAGCTCCGCTATGAATTAACGTGAAGTTTTCCATATTCTCTAGAGTCTCTAAAGTTAAATGATACTCATCTAGGCAAATACTCATCATGACTTAAGGCGGAATAAGGGGAGGGGGAGGATTGGGACCGTGCTATCCAAATTTTAGCCACGAGGAAAATGATTTTCAAAATTTAAGAAAACTCAATTTTGCGGAGAAGGATATTCTGAACAGATCCCATATAATACAGAGTTGGGCCACCAGTACTGCTGCTGTTACTGAAGTGTCGTACTATTATCCAGCTCACTTTCAAATTTGTTCCAGCGTGTCAGCTAGGAGAGGTGTAATTCGATAATAAACAAAAATGCCTCCATCTCTTTTGTCACTGTCGAAAAAAAGAATTTTGTGCAAAAATAGTAAAAATCGTCGGCATTCGCTAAGCGTATTTAGTTTAATTCTGTGTCTTCTCTTATACCTCTTACAAAGCTTCAGTAAACTTCATTTTGCGCCACGTTTTCTTGCTTGCGCTAATTATAATTGTCAAAGAAACACTTGTATTCTGTTGTGCTACAAGTGGAAGGAATTAATTAAATCGACCAGTTTAATTAACTCATGATAAGCCAAATTTGCCGTGAAGACTACAACGATATCAGTGATGTGCTTAAGTTCCGCGCTAGCTCTTTTTTAGTCTGAAATCTTTTTAGTTGAGGATTTCAAAAGCCGCCACAATCACCACCGCAATCACCAAGTCCCCAGTCACCCCCTCCTTCCATTCCACGGTTTCTTTCTTTTTCTTCTTCTCGTTCCCTCCTTCTTCTATCCTCTTCTTCTTCCCTCTTCCTTCTTTCTTCTTCTTCTTCTTCCCTCCTCCTTCTTTCTCTTTCTTCTTCCCTCCTCCTACTTTCTTCCTCTTCTTCCCTCCTCCTTCTTTCTCGTTCTTCTTCCCTCCTCTTTCTTTCATCCTCCTAAATAGACACATAACGTTTTTTAAATTTTATTCGGGTACCAGGAACGACATAATATAGCTGTGAAGGACTTTCGTATCGCGTAGTATTCGAATTTTTGAAAAGAAATGAGGACTTTCAAACATATAGTCGAAGACTTCCGACGACTTTCGAATATTGTTGATGAAAATTCACAAGGCGCCACTTCAAGATTCTGCGATCTATCTTTCGAAAGACCCGGTCCAAGGATTTCATGGTCTTTCATGACGATGCTTTTAGTATATGTATCATCAGTTCTCTTCAAAGCACTACTATCTCCGCCAGAAATATAATAACATTCTTTTGATTTAGAATGATTTTTTTTCCTTCTTTCCCCTCCCGCTTCCCCGTCATTTCTTTTTTCTGCTCTCGTCCCAACTATTCTCCACGAACTCGCGCGGAAACGCTTGCTACGCAGGCTACATTGGTGATTAAGGAATTTTTAGTTGCAAATAACGTACAAGCTTTAACGTGCTTGTTATCGTCGACTTACGCCCATGCACTTTTCGAGACTTTTGCGTTTCAAGAAAGCACAATAAGCCTCGTTTCGCTCGTTGATTATCTTCACTCTACCGTTGTTGATGCAATACCTACCTCTTTTGAAGGTGTATCACCCATTGCTAATCAAGCTCCGTGAAGTAAATAATTAGGAGTCGAAGAACTAACAACTAAGTGGTGGATGGCTAACTTTTTTTCTTCCTCATGTGTCCTTAGCTTCCGCATAGTGAGGTGATATTACCTTAGTAACGTGAGGAGGGGGTGTGAATCGGGTTACACGTCCATACGCTGACCTATGCAATTTTCGTTCATATTCCTATTTAGCTACAATAGATACAATTATGAAAGATATATTTCTTTTTGAAACGTAGTGCAGATGGTCTTTTATCATTTTACCAACAAGAAAGAAGAGCAGCGATAAAAAACATTTTCAACAATCTCGTACATGTAACCTGCACTGTGCAATAACCCAATAAGACATCCTCGTAACAGCTTTTATCTTTTTGAATTATTGCCAAAATCATGTCAACTTAGAACAGAGGCCTTTCGATCATCCCGGCTCGGCATCACGTAGTATCAACAGCTTCAGGCACGTTCATCAACAAAAGGCAGAAAAGGGCAAGTATTTTCCTCGGTAACCCAGGAGCACTACTTGTGTCACGTACGGGTTTCATATAACATGAGTATATCACTATTTTTCCCGAAACTTCGTGTACATATTAAGGACAACTATAACTCGCCACATGGTAAGTTTCATCGATTCTTATTGCCATTTCCAAGCACATTTCCTAGCCTGAGTATCAGGCGTTTCAGGGGAAAAGGGGAAAGATGGAAGAGAAAAAGGGAGAGCCTTAGGAAGGCCTGATACTCAGGCTACACATTTCCAGACCTAAACTTCGCACCATATGTTCTCATGTTGTATGAAACCCGTACGTGACACAAATAGTGTGCCTGGGTTATATTTACCTGTGGTATTTTCTTGACAGGTTTTTCATTAACAGACAAGGCAACCGCGTGCGAAAATACAGTGTTTGTATAAGAATCTAATGTCGAATAATTTCTGTAAAACGGCTGTTCTGAAAAAAAATATGAATTGTAAACTTAAGCTTCACTCCTAAGAATTCTTCTGAAAAAAATTTTGGGCGTTACATGCCCTAGAAGACCTAGAACCACTTTTTCAAATTTTGTATGCATTTGTCTTTACATGTAAGTCCCGGGAAAAATTACAGACAAATATATGGAAATCTAAAGCAAAACTCTGGAGAAATTTAAGCACAGGTACGCCCCTCAAAATTTTTAGTACAATCCTTTGCTTTGTAGCTTTAGTCATTGTTTTTTTGAAGCTACTGAAGGTGTTAGTTGCCCAAATCGCTCTCGAGATCAACACATGATCGACAACCAAAAACACTTCGAGAGATCACATTGTCATTCTGGTGCCAGAAAATCTCGACGTATAGAAAGTCATAATACTTAGAAAATCCGCAAGAATCCTTCTTTGGCTCCGAAAACCATTTTCTGAAATACGTTGATTACAGCGTAAGTTCAGTTTATCCAGTCAGTACCAAGCTTTGCCAGGATGGTTGAACATTTCCTGTGCCTCTTGGCCATGATATCAGTGTTCCTTTTCTCTGGGAAACTTTTGCTCTGGACAGCCAATTTTCTACCACCCTCTTTCAGACTTATGTTCAACAGCTGTACTATCAAGTACCTGATTTTTTCGGTGCAACTGTCTTCCTTGTACGTGTGGAATAGGTTGTGCCTTGGTACGAAGAAACTAGGTAAAAAGCGTTCCCCTGCAGCTTGAGAGAGTCTCGTAAATGTCCCACATACAAGTGTTTTTAAAGTCAACTTGTTTGTAGAGTTGTTGCTGTCGTTCAAATGGAGTGCCTCAAGCTCATGAAACAAAGCTGTCTTGAGAACATAACTGGAGAAGGTATTTTTTGTTAAAATCTTTGCTGTACCGTACTCACCTCCATAAATCATTGAGAATGGAACTTTTGCTGTTCTCCTTGATAGAACCTTTGCAACCACACAACTTCTCTTGACAACATCTGGCATTTTAAGAAATATCTCTCGCTCAGCAACAGAAAAGGTCACCCTTAGAAGATGAGCGGGATTCCCGAAATGTTCTGTGCTGTTCAATCCAACATCGGGTTGTTTGAGTACAACATGACATTCCCGAGTATCGGGGGTCAATATAGAGCTGTCTTGTCTTGCAAATGATGGCCACAGAGATTTGACCTGAATCGCTGGAACTATATCAATGCTGGCGCTTCTTGCATTCATAACATCTTTCTTCCAAACGAGACTAAGCTTTATATTTGGACGTCCAGTGGTACTCTGCAAAGTAGGGATGCAGGGGCACTCCATGTCACCATCTTGCCAGATTTTAGGTTGGTTCATCACTAGGACCATGAGATCGCAAAATGCCTTTGAAACTCTGTCTCCGACAAGATAGCCTTCAGAGAAAAATTCCTTAATTTTGGACTGGTTTGTCGGTTGCTTGTGCGCAACCCTAACGTGTCCTACGACGGCTGGTACTTCCTCAACAATGACCTCTTCGCTAAGTCTTTCTAAACAGATCNTGGAATAGGTTGTGCCTTGGTACGAAGAAACTAGGTAAAAAGCGTTCCCCTGCAGCTTGAGAGAGTCTTGTAAATATCCCACATACAAGTGTTTTTAAAGTCAACTTGTTTGTAGAGTTGTTGCTGTCGTTCAAATGGAGTGCCTCAAGCTCATGAAACAAAGCTGTCTTGAGAACATAACTGGAGAAAGTATTTTTTGTTAAAATCTTTGCTGTACCGTACTCACCTCCATAAATCATTGAGAATGGAACTTTTGCTGTTCTCCTTGATAGAACCTTTGCAACCACACAACTTCTCTTGACAACATCTGGCATTTTAAGAAATATCTCTCGCTCAGCAACAGAAAAGGTCACTCTTAGAAGATGAGCGGGATTCCCGAAATGTTCTGTGCTGTTCAATCCAACATCGGGTTGTTTGAGTACAACATGACATTCCCGAGTATCGGGGGTCAATATAGAGCTGTCTTGTCTTGCAAATGATGGCCACAGAGATTTGACCTGAATCGCTGGAACTATATCAATGCTGACGCTTCTTGCATTCATAACATCTTTCTTCCAAACTAGACTAAGCTTTATATTTGGACGTCCAGTGGTACTCTGCAAAGTAGGGATGCAGGGGCACTCCATGTCACCATCTTGCCAGATTTTAGGTTGGTTCATCACTAGGACCATGAGATCGCAAAATGCCTTTGAAACTCTGTCTCCGACAAGATAGCCTTCAGAGAAAAATTCCTTAATTTTGGACTGGTTTGTCGGTTGCTTGTGCGCAACCCTAACGTGTCCTACGACGGCTGGTACTTCCTCAACAATGACCTCTTCGCTAAGTCTTTCTAAACAGATCATATAATCAAAGTCTGTCAGAAATGAGGCTTCTGTTACAGGTTTTGTCCCTTCATAGGTGCTTCCACTCGGCAGAACATTGGAGGCAAATCTAGGATCCATCCTGGCGATTTCATCACATAGATGCCTGACAAACTTCTCAATCGAAGAGTTTATGCCATTCTGAAGGTTTATTTGCTCATCTGATGGAATGGTCCACAAGGAGATTTGATCAAGGTACTCTTGGACATTTGGAGTTGGCCTCAAAGTTTCGGGGTCAATGTCTCTATCACTGACAATGCAAATTGGTTGAAGATAGTCCTTTAAAAAGGAATTCTCTTGGGAGCCAGGGAATTCATGTAATGGTAAGGGGTGAATCTTTCCTGGATTGGCTACCTGGAAAATGATCTGGCTAACATCCCTGGAGTACCTGGCCATTTCGATGCAAGTCACACCAGAAGGAAGATCAATTTTTATATCTGCTCCATGTTGCAAAAGACAACTTAGAATTGACTCTTCAGTCCTTTTATGCAATAGGAAATAATGAAGAGGAGTCATCCCAAAATTGTCTTGCTTGTTCATGAAATTTTCAACTCCTTGTGGAGGCGATGACATTGCTGGGATGATGGTACTGATAATTTCAGGCTTGCCAGAAGTTGCAGCATAGTGAAGAGGAATTCTTCCTAGGTGATCAACCACGCAAGGGCTCCTTGAATACTCCAAGAGAATCTCAGCAACTTTTAAGTCTCTGTTAAACATACTTTTATGCAATGGTGTTCTTCCAATATGGTCAGCAATCGATGGATCGGCACCACACTCCAGAAGGGTCTTCACCTGCTCTGGAAGTGCGCTGTACGCTGCATACTGCACAGCAGTTTGGCCATTTCTGTTCTTGACGTTAACATCACATCCCAATTTCACTAATTCTTCGAGAATCGTTGTCACCTCCAGGGAATCTTCCTCAGAAGGGTAGAAATAAGGATTCATCTTGAATATGGCATGCAAACAAGTATTTCCATAGTCGTCGATAACGCGAGGGCTCGCGCCACATCTTAGTAAATGTAAAACACTGCTTGCTTTTAAGTTAAAATTCGTACAAGCCAACCTTATAGGTGTGAAACCATGGAGACCCGGTTTATCTACTCCAGCTCCTGCCGAAATGAGTAGGTTTATCTTTTCTAAGATGTTTTCTTCGACCTCAGAAAACACGGCAAGGTGCAAGGGAGTAAATGCTTGCTCGTCGGAGACGTCGACCGTGAGCTTCCTGTTTATAAACTCTTCAAGAAGAGTTTTAAATACTTCAGTGGTTCCCCAAAGAGCAGCTTCGTGCAAAGGTGTTCGTCCTTTCACATTTTTCGCCGCTGGATCGGCTCCTAGTGCAAGCAAACGTGCGACTATGTTATAATCTCTGGCAAAATGCAATGGGCTGTTGCCAACACTATCGCTTTGATCAACGCTCGCTCCTGCCTCAAGGAGAAGCGAACAGCAACTGAAATGGTCGAATTTACAGGCAAGAAGTAGTGGAGTTTCCTTGGAATCGTTACTATAGTTGACCTCTGGATTTTGAGCGGCCAAGAGCTGTTCAAGCTTCTTGCTATCGCCTATTTCTGACGCCAGTAATACATCCATTATTGCTTTCGACAAACCTTCGTTGCTCGCCTCTGCCCTCATCTCCAGGCCCCGTTTTCGCGTACAACATCACATGTATGCGGAAGTGTGACGGCTTGAGGTTGGTCGGAGAACACGTTTATGTAGCGCATAGAAGAAACTTCACGCTTTTCACTTAAAATTGAAGAAGAGGGCGCTGGTATTTTCGGTTTTTCGGTTTTGGCCACTTTATAGGTCGGTTTTTCGGTTTTTGCGCTGAAAAACTTCGGTTTTTAGGTTTTATCGATTGTCCGTTGCGGTTTCCGGTTTTTCGCTTTTTTATTTAGCTTCCGGGTTTTGGCAAAAATAAAGCAGGTTAGATTCCTCTGTGGGTCTCTGTGCAGTCAGATGTTTGGCTATTTCATATGTTTGTATTTTACAGTCAATCCAGGTCGAACTGCAATGTGGGATTCTGGATTTTTAATTGAAGTTCACAGCTATAGGAGCCCGGGGAAGTAGGTTAATTTTTGCTTGGTATGTGCCATTGGCCTCTCAGAGCCCCTACCCCATTATAGTCTATTCTGTGGCAAATTACATACCCCATCTTAGTCACTTTCAGGCGAGTATGTAATTTTCGCGATCCCAACTTAGTCACTTTCTATTTTTATGAATTGGCCCATTTTTTAGATTGACTGAAGAACATTTTACTTTTCATCTGCAGTACAAACATTCTGGTATGTTTGCTAACCGCAAATATGAAGAACTGTCTTACCCCTAAAAATCAGAAAATGTGCGACCCCATTCTAGTAACTCTATTGAAAATGCGACCCCATTATGGTCAATCCAGTCGTGAAAATGCGACCCCCATCCAGCGGCACATCCCAATTAGCCTCTTATAAGGAAGTACGCTCCCCCCCGGGTATAGGAAAGCTTTTTGTGAACGCAAAAGTCCCCCCCCCATTGTCATCTATTGCTATTCAATCGAGGATCTTTGTTAATTCTCTTGGACAATCCTCGGGCAGATATGCCGGTTTTACTACATCCATAGATAGTGCTGATACTGTGATGATGATGTGATAATTGTTTAGACGGCAAAATTGAAGAACACCTCCCCAAGTCTATCGACAGACGGCCGACAGATTTTTTGGGTAATTGTTCTTCACATTTACCGTTTGTTCCTTATGTTCCGCATAACATTAACGTTTAACATCTAGGCTAGGGTTTGACAACTGAGCCGGTTTTTCGGTTTTGAGTAATTTTTAGAGCGGTTGTTCGGTTTTTTATAGACCGCAAATCCCCCTCATTGAGGGCAAGGCTGATCAGACAGCTAAGGATTGGTAATTTATGGGCCCATTATTTCGAATCGGCAAAACTTGTCAAGTCGAAATATTGGGCAAAGTTCAATCGGCCTTGCCTTCAATTTTGAGTGTTATTCCACATTGCTGATCCTCATCTACACCAAGATCCGGCTTTCCCTAACTACTGTTTGTCAAAGTGGTTCTTGCAAGAATTGCTCGCTCATTTATGCACCAGTCAATGTTAACCCAAGGGTAGGGGGTCCGGGCATCCCCGGGGGGTTGACTGTATTTCCTTTTCGGTAGGTGGGGAATGATTAAAGATTTGACGTTATACAGTATCCCGAGGGTGGGGTCAGGGCGGGGGAGTTTGACAAGATCTCGCAGGAGCCTAGAACTTCGTCTCAGCCCTGCCCCTTGAAACAATACCCAGAGTTCCTTGGGATTGCTGTTTCACCTGCTCGGCATAAATTATAAAGGCACTTGATCAAAAATGTAAGATGTGGTATTTTAACATTTGGCTCGATTTTCGACGTAGTATGGTTGTACTGTTGCCGCTTTTTTCTTTGTTGTGTTACAAAGTCTGTTAACCTTACCTACTCCATAATTATTGCACGTTCGTAAACGTACTTCTGCTAATATACAGATTTGGCCAAGGCTAAAAAGTGTGGCTCCAGTTACTAAATTTATAATTTAAATCAAACAATAAACTTGTGATCCACAAATCAATTAACTGGAGAGATCCATATGACTTGTAAGGGTGGAGTTGGGTGATTTTAGAGAAAAAATAATTTGCCACCAGTACAAGAATGAAACATGTAAAATCTTACATCGAGTTAAAAGTCTTTTATGTACACCCAATAAATAGCAATCACCTTTGATCAAAGTAGATTAGGCTTAGAAAAACATTCTTCCCAAACAAAATAACCTACTTGCCCACCTACACCACCTTTATTTTATAAGGGTAATCGGACAGTCCAGAAAGATAATTTTATGCTACAAAGGCCGTCAAGACAAGACAATCTTTGGTAGCAGCCAGTTACACGTTATAACGTATCGGTTCTACCTCTCTGTCTAAAAGAAAGGCCAAAATGAAAAATTAGGTCGGATTTTTTTGTATGGCTCGCTACACGTTTACTTCATAAATCTGGTAGCGCGTAAACCAACCTTTTTACATCACTGTGCCCTGAGGTAAACAGAACTATCAGGCGTTGTTTGTTTATCGTTTAGACCTCGGACAGAACCACTTTTTTGCCCTATGTTTACTTTTATGCTGCAGATTTTTACAGAATAAGTTTCCAAGACAAATTCGGTACTCATTCAATATTCAGGACGGACGCTGCAACAAATTATAAAAATGAAAACAAGATAAAACGTTTTTATATAGAGAATTCACCATGCATTAGACGGCACTGTTCAGTCAGGTCATTCTGCTGTTATGTAGTATGCAGGGTAATAATGGGCTTTGAGCAAAAACTTTCGAAGAAATTTTATTTTAATTCATTTTGCAAAATCACCTGTCAGCCCAGCCACTTCTGAATTTTGCCAAGCGCCAAACTTGCCGAGTGCGAGCTGCAGGGAATACTATAGTAGGAAGAGGTCTCATAACAATTTTCGTTTGCATTTTACTTCTAAAACACCATATTCATTTGATACACGCGGCATTTTGAGTACTCCTGCATTTGATGCTCATGTCGACTGAAAACCGACTGAACAACCGGCAAACGATAAGCCAAGGGATCTTGACAAACAATCAAGAAAAGAAATTTAAGTCTATGAAACATTTAAAAGGACAACAATTTTTATTCACGAAGACATGTATTGAGAGTGAAGTGTCTCTGAAAATCCTGAGTTATGAATAAACCCTTGCAAATTTAAGCTTAATTCTTAAGTAGGCTTTGCCGTGTTTGGTCTGTTTGCTATTTTTCAAGATGAACTCGGGGCAAGAATATCCCTCAAAGCTTTCTTTTTACAACTAAAAGGACAACTAAATATTCTGCAGAACGTTTTCTTTCACTCTGGGTTGCAGTCAGAAAGACTTTTTAAGTGCTGTACTAGGTCAGATCATTGTCTCAAAACTCACAAATGTGCGTAAAGATGACAGCATGGTCGAGATGCAGCTCGTGAAAGCCATCAAGTAAGGCTAGAACAGCTTAAGACTTTTCAACCTTCTTACACATCCAGCAAGGCTAGGCGCTAAGAAAAGCGTATTTTTGAAAACGATGATTTCCGACTACTTTTGTCAAGCGGCACATTTCTCAACCAAAAATCCAATAAAAAGCCAGCCAAGGATAACAAAAACATTTTGACAGCAGCTGTATTTCATTTCGTATATCCAGCGCAAAAAGACGGTTAAAAACA